GAACGAAGGAACAGGCAGACGAGGGCAGAGGAGGGTGGAGGGGGGGTGGATCGGGCGAAGGGAACTATGCACATGCACCGATCCTGGCAAGGCCCATCCTTGAACCAGGATCTGTGCATGTACCTTCCTAGCCAAGGTAGGAGGGCGTATGCACGGATCCTCGGCTCAGGATGGGCCTGGCCAGAATCGGTGTATGTGCATAGTTCTCTTTCCTCTAGTGAAGGGAAGGAGGTGGAGGATCCCCAGGAACGAAGGGAGAGGCAAGACGAGGGCAGAGGAGGGTGGGGGCGGGAGGGTGAAGGGAGGGAGGTGGAGGATCCCCAGGAACGAAGGGAGAGGCAAGACGGGGCAGAGGAGGGGGGGGGGGAAGGGAAGGGAGGCGGCGGTGGCGTATAGGCTTTTGGGGCCCGCAGGGGAGGCTGCAGCCCGAGGGCAGGCCCCTCCGGGCTCGGGGAGCAGAGGCCGGAGGGGGGCCACAGAGGAGGGAGGAGGAGGAGGAGGAGGAGGAGGAGGAGGAGGAGGAGGAGGATGGAGGAGGAGGAGGATGGATGGAGGAGGAGGAGGAGGAGGATGGAGGAGGAGGAGGCGGAGGAGGGGGAGGATGGAGGAGGATGGAGGAGAATAAAGGAGGAGGATGGAGGATGTAGGAGGAGGATGGAGGAGGAGGATGGAGGAGGATGGAGGAGGAGGAGGAGGAGGAGGAGGAGGAGGAGGAAAGGTGCGACCCCAACAGGGTGCGCCCTCCAGGTCGAAGAACCATTCACTGCCTGAGCATAAGCTCGAGTCGGGCGTGTCCCTCTACGGGAGGAACATTCAAGAGTAGGTGAAAGAAGTAGTCAGGGGACGACTGTTTGACAATGCTCGACTATTTCGGAGCATTTTCTGTGTTTTGTTATTTTTCGCCCAAAATCCGCTTGTAGGGGGACATGACCGACCTAAGCATAAGCAGTTGGAGCTCCGCGCCGATGTCTTGGATCGGTGCCAGGCATCCCCTGGCGGCGCCTCCAGCGCCGCGCGCTCCGCGCGCGAGAGAGGTGGGTCCGGAGCGGAATCCAAGAGAGCCGCGCGGAGCTCCGGCTGTGCCTGTTTCTGCTCATGCCGTGTTTGGGCCTGAGAGCCTATCGCCGAAGTGTCGGCGATGCACCGCCGATTTCAGGTCGATGTTTCCCACCCCTTGGCCAGTCCCCCCCTATCGTTGCCCTTCGTGGGTGCACACAAACATAGACCTTCGGCGCGCTCCGCGGGCGCCCGAGACGGGGGCGCGGGGCTGACCCAAGAAGTCCGCGTTCCGTTCCCCCTACAAGCGGTGTGGTGACCACACCGCGTGGTGAGTCGGCTCACACTCGGGGTCGCCACGCGGTTTGGGGACTCTTGCTGGGTAGTCGAAGGCCAGACTGTCAGATTGGATTGGGCCCCAAGGGCCAATCTGGCCCGGCCAAACTGGATGATTTGGGTTATTCGCCAGACTGGATTCGCGTTGGCTCCCTCGCCAGATTGCCCCCGTTTGCCAGATTGGGCCTGCCAGATTGGCGCCAGATTGGCTTCGACTACCCACTCTTGGTCGTTCTCCGAGGATGTCTCGGGAGACTTGGGCCTTCGGGGCCCAGCAATCGCACAGGGTAGACCCAACGTCTCTGACGTCCGCGCGCATCTCTTGGATCGGCGTTGGGCCCCCGCGCCACCTCTGGCGCCGCTCCTTGGCGCGCTCCGCGCGCCAAGGGAGGGGGTCCCTTCGCCAAGCCGAGGCATCCGCGCGGACCTTCCACTTGGTATCGCTCGGACGTGCGCACTTTTTCTCGGCGGGGATTATTAAGGAGCATCCTGGATCATCCTGCGAATAAGCCACGCACGGAACCGAAAAAAGCACAGGGAATGGACGTCCGAGCGATGGCCAGTTTAAAGCTTATGTTTTGCTGTCTGTTGTTCCTCTACAGGTGGTTGTTGTTCCTCTACAGGTGGCTGAGAGCACTCTGCGTTCATGGGAGAGCAAGAGCGGGCATACGCACAGCCTGTCGGAGCCTCGCGCGGGTTTCTTGGATCGGCGCTGGGCCCCCCTGGCGGTGCCTTCGGCGCCGCTCCTGGCGCGCTCCGCGCGGCAGGGAGGGGGGGCCCTTCGCCAATCCAAGACATCCGCGCGGAATTTCCAAAGCTTATGCTTTTGCCGTATGTTGTTCCTCCTCAGGTGGTTGAGAGCACGCTGGGTTCGATGGCAAGACGATTTTGCTCTTAGCTTTGGGGCAGGTGTGGCCTGTTGGAGTGACAGAGGTCGTTGTCGATCTCGTTATTGTCCTGACGTGGGGTGAGGCCCCCGAAATTGGTTTTCATGTTTCGGCAGGGCCGAGCATCTGGTACATATGCACTTGGCGGCTGTAGAAGCATACCATCCTCCCGGGTGATAGATATGCTCCCTCCCCTTACTCAATCTCACATGGCGTGAAGTAATTGTTTATGTGAGATGGTGGGCAAATCTATTCCACAACGTTGCAGGCTTATGAGTCGAGCGCGTGAGTGTTCTGCAAGATCTTCAGAGGTGGCCCAAGTGTCGCAGTAGTTTCCGAGTTGGTTTATCTGTTTTGGCTGTGTGAGGCGCGCCGAAGCCACCTTCCTAGGATGATGAGCAAGGACGGCAATTACAATTGTTCTCGCTAGAGCACCCCGAAACTTTACTCGTTCTGATTTCGGCGATTCGACATTCTACCGGCAGGAGGTGTCACATTGGTTTCCAGAAAGGTCTTGCGGATGCCCATGCTCGGACTACGCCAGCGCCGTCTGTGAACCAGCTACTTCTGGCCGTTCCCAGTCGGCGCCAGCGCGAAGCATGGCATTACAAGGGGGGAGGGGGGCAGCCCCTGTAACAGGCGTGATCGTGAACAGCCTAAGAAGAACGAGCTCAAAGCCCTGAGATTCGACGTCGGAGGCAATAGTGTAAAATTTGCACTCGGCGGCGAGCCCGGGGGGAAGTGAGCAGGCACCGGACAGTTCTCAGGAGGCCGGAAGCCTTCTGCGAAGCCCCGCAGCCTTTGGGAGGGATGTCTCCTCCTCACTTCCCCCTCGCTCGCCGCCAGATCATGGCCAGAGGCTCCAGGAAAACCTTCAGCAGCCCCTTTCAAACGGCAAGAAAGCACCCGATGATGGGAAAACCTGCGAGGTTTCTCGCGCGGGAGAGGCTGCAGAACATAGCTGTCCGATGCAGCCGCGGACACCCGGGAGCGCTGTCTCTGCGACCCAACCCGCGCAGAGCGTGTCCCAACCGTCTTGGAGCTACTGCTGTTGCTGCTGCCGCGGCTACTGGAGCCGCACTGCTGCTGCTGCTGCTGCGGCAGCTCTCAAGCTGGATCGATCCGCCACGGCCCCCGAGGCCTCGACGACGACCTGGGATATGAGCGCCCAGCGTGAAGGGGCCGCGACGCCCAGATCGCATAGCTCACGAGAAAGTCGAAGGCGGCCAAGAGGGGGGTGATGACCAGGGCGGTGTGGATATCACGGCGTCGGCTTATGATGTTCGAACCTACTTTAACCTTGATCATCAGAAAGAACTTCGAGCACCAAGAAAGTACCGTAACTGAAGGTGTTTCACGTGTCGGGCCCTGGGAGGCGATACTCGTTCGACACTGTTTCGATACTTTTCTGGGTGCTCGAAATCATTTCTGGGATGTGGCCCTTCAGTACGATGGGAGCTACATAAGCGTCGGCCATGATATCTCCCCAGATTTCATGGCGCCTCTTATTATTTCATTACGACCCTGGCCCCCCCCCTGGGCCGCGCACATGACGCCGGCCATGATTTGCGCCCCCCCCCCCTCTCGGACGCCCCCCTCTTGGCCGACCCCGACAAGGTGGGGCTGGGGAACGGGCCCAGCGGATACTCCCGTTTTAGCGCGTTTCCTTCTCCCTGGGGCCGTTCGGAGCGATTTTTCTTCCAACCCCACCTTTGCCCCACCACCACCTTTGTGCCCATCCGACAGGGGCAACGATAGAGGGGGACAGACATGGGGGAGATGCACCGGCCCTCACTCGCCCATGGATCGCCGATGAGGGTATGGTAGCCCCACCTCGCCCAGGAGCGTGCGGATTCACTGTCGGATTCGCTGAGCTCCAAGTGTGTCTGTTGATGCTTATGCCGTGTTCAGGCCTGAGGGCATATCGCCGATCTATCGGCGACGTATCGCCGATTTCGGATCGACGTTTTCCCTCTCCTTTATCGTTGCCCCTTCCTAGGTGCACGCAAGCATTCAAGCAGTGGCGAAGCGTCCTGGCTCGCCTATAGCCCTACCAAAGAATGTTCTAAAAACCTTTTGTGGTTTCCTCGACCTGTTCTCAGAACATGTCTGGTTGAAGGTTGATAGTGTCTTGTTTTAGCACATCGGGCTTATGTTCTAAGAAGCTGGTTTTTGTTATTAGAACATTCCTGGGCTCCTAAGAAAATTTCGTGGTAGGACTATACGAATGCTGGGACGGTCGGTCCCTACTCAAAACATTGATTTTCGGCGCGCTCCGCAGGCGCCCCGGGACGGGAGCCCAGGGCCGAGCCACGGCATGCGTGCAGTGCTCCGACAGCCTGTGCCGATGCAGACGTTTGCAGGCAGGCGACGTGTTTTAGAAGTGCCCCTGCTCGCGCCCCGGCCCCACGAGGAGCCAGAGCGGGGGCATGGACGAGTTCCCTCGTCCTCCTCTTCCGCCTCCGCCCACGACTCCAAAGTTGGCCAGGCAAGTGGAGATGGCGCTAAGTGACTGGGCCTTTCGGCGAGCTAGAGTTGTGCGACAGCTCGGACATGATCGACGGATGGGTGGAGGGGGCAGAATCCCTACACATCGAGGGCGAGTGGCAGCAGTTGGACGGAGAGTTCCACGGTTTCGCAGGCTGGCGCAAGGAGGGCGACAGATGGGCAAGCTGTTTCGCTCAGGAGGTCTGGCGTCAGTTGGCTACACGGCTAAAGTGCAAGGCATGAGTGACACCCAGCTGCAGAAAGTACGCTCCCTCTCTGGTCATGCGCAGTTTGGCTCAGCAAGGGGAAGGAGCAGAACCATGGAGTTTCTTCTTTCACATTGTCCTCGGTCTGATCCAACCTTCATTGCTGATGAGTACCCGCTCGCGTACTGGATGAAGGCCAAGTGGGAGCAGTGGGTCAGACCGAAAGCCATGGCCCTAGCCTTCATGCACGCGCAGAACCACACCAAGACTTGGCAGTCAGTCAAGGGACCTGCTGGAACAGTTCTCATGACGCTTCGTCGTATGGGATGGCGAGCTGAGAGTTGGAAAGTTTGGTTCACTGAGCGCGGATCACGAGTTGATTTAGATGATATCGGCGTCGGCACCCTTAGGAAGCTGGTCAATGTATCCACTAAACGACGGCTCTTAGCAGGTGTTCCAGGCAGTCGTGGGATGGAAGGTTTAGTTGGACCGCCCATTTTGGAGCCGGCCCTCAAGGAGATATCCGACCTTCGGAAGAAAGGAGACTTCAAAGGAGCTGGTCTTCTTCGTACTTGGCTGGCTGGAGGTTTCTTCAATCAAGTTCGACTGCATGATGTGCAGGCCACGGAGAGCCCACTATGTGCGATTTGTGGGGTTGAGGAAGGGACTGATCTGCACAGGTGTTTCAGATGTGATTGGCATCTCACGGAGAGACAAGACTGGAGCGGTTTCGAGAGGAAACTCATGTTGTGGGGCCGCAATGAGTATGGTCAAGATCATCCGTGTGCTATGATGCTGTGCAAAGGGCTCTTTCCTGATCCCCTGTTTCAGCTTCCTGATGCAGTTGCTCACCATACGATTCGCTGGCATGTGTGCACAGTTTCTGGCCTGATCAGTGGAGTTGTTTGTGTGGATGGCAGCTGTATCTTTCCACATTGTGAGTTTCGAGCTCGTGGTGGATGGGCCTTTTGTATGATCGACGCGGTGGGAAATGTCATTGCAGCAGCATCAGGACCTGTTCCCTTTCCATGGCAGACCTCAGGTGCGGCGGAGTTGTTTGCAGCCCGACAAGCCATCCTGCACAAGTCGCAGGGCCAGCTGCACCTCGTCACTGACTTCAAAGAGCTCTTTATTGGTTGGCAAGCTGGACATCCCTATGGCACTCATTCTGGACACCAGTATGCAGAGCTTTGGGTTCAGTTCTGGAAAGCTGTTGATGATGTCGGTGCTGATGAAATTCTGATCGAGTGGATTCCCTCGCACCTCTCGCAGACGCAAGCGCTGGCTCAGCAGATTCCCTTGGCCTACTGGCACGGCAACAAGCAAGTGGATTTCTATGCCAAGTGTGGTGCGGCCATGCACCCACGAGATCTACCTCAAGAACGTGCTCGTCACATGCGCGAGCAGGCGGCAGCGTTGACGCTGAAAACTGTGCTGCGCATCCTGCGCCGCTGTTCGAGAGGAAAATGGGCTGATGTGGAACGGAAGGAGTACGTTGAGAGGCCGATCGGCCTCGCTCTGAGTGATGACAATGGCCACGTAGTGCGTAGGTACAAAGGACGATGGGCTTGCGCGAGGTGCGGAGAGAATCGTGCTCGTAGGTGTGACCTGGTGAACTTGAGCTGTGGAGGACCCCCTAAGGGGGTCCAGATGGCTCATGAGTCGCACCGCCTCTGGAAAACGGGCCCGATGGTTTGGTGTGTAGATTGCACTGCGAGGTGTGTGAGCAGAGCGTTTTTGATTGCCAGACCTTGTAAGGGTAGACCTCCCCTGGGTTCTCCGAGGTACTTTAAGAGGAAGTACCTTATCCAGGGGAAGGGCCCGTCAGGCGAAAAGATAGGAAATGGTTTTCACAAGCCTGTTCCTATCACCTCGCGTAGCTGATTTTAGTAATTAGCGCTTATGATGTATCGCGTTTCTGGCTTGGTGCCTCGTTTTCGGAGCCCCTCGTCGTCATCGGAACCATCGGAACCTCCTCCTCCTCCTCCTCCTTCTCCTCCCCCTATCCATGCCCTGCTGCCCCGGGCGCCCAGGGGGGGGGGGGAAGGCAAGCAGCTGGGCTGCGGACGCAGCGCCGACCGCCGCTGCCTTTCTCCCCGCGGGCGGGAGGGGCCGCGGCGGGCCCGCGGCGAGGCGGACGCTCCCCACGAGCTCCGGGCGGCGCTGCGGCGCTCGCGCGGGACGCGCCCGCGGCGCCCCCCCGCGCGGCCCCCCCGCGGCGCGCGAGCCGCCCTTCTCCTGCCTCCTCCTCCTCCTCCTCCTCCTCCTCCTCCTCCTCCTCCTCCTCCTCCTTCCTCCTCCTCCTGCTCCTCCTCCTCCTCCTCCTCCTCCTCCTCCTCCTCCTCCTCCTCCTCCCTTTCGCTCCGTCTGCCTCCCCCCTACCTTCGGGGGCAACGATAGGGGAAGGGCATAGGGCGGGGGCGGGGGCAACGATAGGGGAAGGGCAACGAGGGGGGAAGGGCGTAGGGAGGGGGGGATGCATCGACCCCCATTTCCGCCCAACGATCGCCGATGGGGGGCCCGATGGCCCCAGCCTGCCCAGGGAGGTGCGGACTCACTATCGGCGGCCTTTCGCCGATCTATCGGCGATATGTCGCCGATTCCAGGTCGATGCATTCCCCCCTATGCCTATCCCCCCGATCGTTGCCCCTCATAACTTATCAGGAGATTTCGCTCCGCGCCGGAGCCCTTCCGATTGCCGCGCGGAGCTGTCGCCGGTTTCACCCCAGGGTGTCATGTCCGATGCTGCCTTGGGGGTAAAAATATAGGTCGGGTCACGAGCGGCGAGCATGTCCGTATCCGCGCCCTCGTGGTCTACACTCAAGCCGGGCCTGTCCTTCTACAGGGGGAACGTTCAAAAATGGTCCAAACATATTCCGGGACTATTTTTTGAGTATTTTTTTTAACCATTTGGGAGCATTTTTTTAGTATTTGTTATTTCTCGTCGAAAATCCCCCCTCAGGGGGGACACGCCCGGCCTAAGTCTACGCTCCAGGGCGCGACCCAGCGAACGCGCGGTCGCACGGACACGCTCCGCGCGGGGGGGCCGCCGCGAGAAGCAGCGCCCTCCGCGTCCGCGGGGGCCTCGCGGCCTATACAGGGGCCCGGCCCGCTGGGGGCCGCGGCTGCGAGCGTGCTCCCCGCCCAGGATCCAGGGCATCCCGAGTCTTGGCGTATGATGTTCCAACCTACTTTAGCTTTGAGCACCAGGAAGAATTTCGAGCACCAGAAAAGTACCCAAAAACTCGAGGGCATCCCGAGTCTCGTCGGGCCGAACGAGAGGGGGGACTGGGAAAGGGGGGGTTACGGAATCTGCTGCATGCAGCTGGTTTCGGCCCTACCGAGGGGATCCCATTCCTCGATACGTAGCCGCCTCCGGCGCCGGGAGGCGCCGGGAAAATCAGCTACGCGAGCCGATTCTCAAACCCCCCTTTTGCTATGCCCCCCTTTCGCCCACGATCCAGGGCATCCTGAGTCTTGGCGTATGATGTTCCAACCTACTTTAGCCTTGAGCACCAGGAAGAATTTCGAGCACCAGAAAAGTATCCAGAAACTCGAGGGTTGTCACGTGTCGGGCCCTGGGAGACATTGTTTCGACACTGTTGTTCGATACTATTTTCACACTTTTCTATGTGCTCGAAATTATTTTTGGGATGTGGTGCTGGCATCGTGAGTCTTGGAATCGCTCGGACGTGTGCATGTTTTCTCGGCGAGGATCATCGAGGAGCATCCTTGATCATCGAGCCGAGCAAAAACACGCGCGAAACCGAACAAAAGCACAGGGAGTGGACGTCCGAGCGACGGGGAGGAGTGGGGCTTGCGTACGTAGATGCTGTCCGAGCATCGCGCGCGCCGCATCGCGGACGCGTCGGCGATGCGGTTCGTTTTGGAGCGCGGTTTGGTGTTTTCCGCGCAGACGGCGGCGACGCAGTGGCGATGTGGCGCGATCCTCCAGTCCCATCTTAATGCCTCGGACCCCACTTGGGAGGCCTCCATCCCCCGATGGCCTGTTCTCTCGGGGGGTCGGGGGTGGTGAGGGACAAGGCTTGGGGGGGGGACTGGGTCAAGGGTGGATTCATCGACCCCCAAGCGCCCACTTGTCGTCGATGGAGGGTCCGAGAGTCAGCCCCGCCCTGGTTCACACGGGTTCGCAATGGACCAGGGCGTTTTGTCCGATGGGAGGACGATCTCGTTTCTGTCGATGAAAAGAACAAGGATGGGAGTCTTTGGCCGACATGGTACAGTTACGCGAGTTATGGCACACATCTGAAGATGAGCACGCAAACCGCATGTGGCGCTAATTCGCTTGAGGTTACCGCTGTTTCGCACACGCTTCCTGCAACCCGGCCTTCCTGGAGGCCAGCGCGTTTGGCGCGCCTGCCGCCCTTCTTCGGTCGCCTCTGAGCGACGACAGATTCATCCTCGATCTCGTTGTATCTTTCCATAACTCTGCCTTGTACACCCAGAAGCTGTTGGGGCCAAAACAGTGCTTCGTTGCTTCTGTAGCGTTCCACGTCGAGCATTTAGCAGAGCAGCGGGCGCGCTGTAGAGACCCCTCAGGAGCCGCGCCCCAGGGGAGGTGCACTGGCGGACGCCCCACCGCCGAGCTCTTGGGGCGGCAGCAAGAATGCAACACGGAGCCTGCGGAACGCGCGCGATTTCTGGGGGCTTCAGCTTCGCGGGATTTCGTCGGAGGCGGTTGTCGGATCGCGGCTCTGCTCTCGGGCTTCTTTGGGCTCTCCTGGCAGCACTTTTGAGGCCTCTTGGGGGCCGTGTGGAGGCTTCTAGCGGCCTCTTTCGGGCCTCTCTGGGTCGATCTTGAAGGCTTCTTCTGCCGGTGTGGGCCTCGTGAAAGCCTAAGAGGCGAATGTGCCAAACATAGACGTTTCCCCTAGGGAATGGGACGAGTTTTCCTTCTGGAGGGCCTCTTGGGAGGCCTCCTGGTGGTCTTGGGGCGTCTTGGGGGCCTCTGAACCATCTGGAGGCAATCTTGGGCGTCTTGGAGCGATCTCTCGGCGACTCGTAGTCCTCTTGGACCGTCCGGGGAACCTTTTTGGGCCCTCTCGGCCCGTTTTTGGCCTTTCTGAGGTTCCAAGGATGCGGCCGGCACCTTTGCGCCCCTCCAATCCGGCCAGACCGGGCTCCCAGGGGAGGGGTTTGGGGAGGGGGGAGCATCTCACACGCCATGACCCCAAGGGGTTGGCGGATGTGCTCCATTTGGCAGAGAAGGTGGGGCTTTTTCGTGCGGGTGTTTTTTCACATTCGCGAGGCCACGGTGCAATTTAGATCGTGTATGTTTACGTGGCGGGAATATGTTGCACGGAATCTGTTTTACAATGTGTAAATTTGTCTCCCACGTCGCCACACGCCTCAATGTGAACAGTCGTACCATCTGCACTTCTCTCTTGGCAGATGTGGCTACAGTGTCTGGTCTGTAATCAACGGTTTCCTCATGAGGATGGAAAGAAATCATGGCGGCGCAGATGAGGGCATACTTTGTTTGCGTGGTTAGAGGATGTTTACAATCAGTTCCGCCGTGGTAGATTGATTCCGTTCTAGCTTGGCCGCGCCGGCAGGGATTGCCGCGAGGGTCGCCGCGCGCTTGGAAATCGCGAGATTGATTCCGTTCGAGCTTGGCAACCGCAAGGGTTGCCGCGCGCTTGGAAACCAAATGTGCGGACTGTCACGTTGTGCAACGTGTCCTTGTTTTCGGCTCTTACCTTCTGACCCGAAGGACCGACACCATTATGTGCGGCGCCTCGTTGGGCGATTCAGGCGTGCTCCGTAGTCTTTCCCTGCGCTTGGCCTATCTGGGTACAGAAAATCATGTGCTTCAATGAAACTGTTTGCTTGTGCTGAGCACGCATGCTTGACTGCCACATTGCGTGCCATAGGTATTCCCGTCATTCTACCTTGTGGGGGATGTCTGACCCGAGGATCCTGGAATCATGGTGCATCTGTTGTTTCATTGTGTTCCATCTGGTCCTTGCACATTCTCTCTCTCTCTCTCTCTCTATATATATATATATATATAAAACACATGCGCCAATCCTAGCGTGCCCCTGCTGCACTACGATTGCCATCGGCAGAGCCGATCGCTACAAGTGGAGACTGTCCAATCACACACGTGGGGCCCCTGCGAGCACGGCCACTGGAAGACATCACTCATCATGCACATGACGCTTGTCACTTACATCGAAGACACGGCGTGCCACCGCCGCCCCCCGCCTTTTGGAGCGCCTACAAACGTTGGGCCGAAGGCTTACCGAGTTGTTGGAATAGGCGTTCCCCAAGCCGTCGTGGAACCTTTCTGGGGAAACTTTTTGTCTTTGTGGGAGGAAAGAGGAGGAAGAGGGAGGAGGAGGAGGAGGAGGAGGAGGAGGAGGAGGAGGAGGAGGAGGAGGAGGAGGAGGGAGGAGGAGGAGGAGGAGGAGGAGAGTGGGGAGAAGGACAAGGAGGATGAACAGGAGGCCTCTCGGGGGGACCGCACAGTGCAACGACAGGAAGGAGGTGCGAGGGAGACAGGGTTGAAGGACAGAGGAGGAGGAGGAGGAGGAGGAGGAGGACGCGAAGGAGGCGGATAAGTGGACGAATGATCAGGAGGCTTGTTCCCGTACGATGTGCATTGGAGTATTGTTTCTGGAATCAGGCCGAGATGGTTCTTACAGGGGTACAAGAGTTTACGGATGCCTCAAAGCGTACCGCCAGGACAGCAGCATGTTATGTTTTCGTTGGGTGTCGTGGTGCCGATTCCAAGTTTGTTATGATCCGCACGTCTCGATCGTGATGGTAACCGTCATTGGCATCACCATCATTATCCAGTTGGCCATTGTCGGGAGTCGGGTTGCATTGAGATGTTTCAAGAGTCAGGTCGCCATGCACCGTCTAGCCATTTTACGAAGGCTGCTCCCGGCGCGCATCTTCGAAGTGGGCAAGTACAGTCTTTACTCGCTGGACGGCTTGGCACCACAAATAGTGATATGTGCATAATCGTCGCTGGCTCGCGGCAATGCGTCAGCCTACCGGTGCCCCTTCTCGCATCACTCACCTTAGCCACCATACCAGTGGCGTCGCACAGACGAGATTGCCAGGATCCTAACCATGCGCCCCTGCACTTGCCAGCACACTTGAGAGCAGCTAGCCCCCTGTGAACAACCACATTCCTGAGCTTCGCATGGCGCCAGCGCTGGCCCAAATCTGATTGCACGTGGTCAGGAGCGAAGTGCGAAAGTGACAGTTCTTTTTGGCTCCCCAGGCAGGTTCGGGCTCGGTTGGCAGAGCCTCGCAGCGGCTCACCCCTTGTTGTGGCGAGGGGTCTCCCCACTAGTATTAAGTCGGGCTTGTCCCTCTACAGGGAGAATATTCAGACATAGTTTTAAAACAAAAGTAGCCTGGGGACTATTTCCTGACCAGTTTTGAATCTGGTTTAGGGCATGTTGAGGGTATTTTTATTTTTCGTCCAAAATCCCCCTGTAGGGGGACATGCCCGACCGAACACTAGTAGAGCGAAATACGCCCCCAGGACGGCAGTCAGTCCCTCGTGAGCCCGGAATGCGCGGTTCGAAGTGTGGCCACGACACGTATGAGTGGAGTTGTGGAGCGGATTTCGTTCAGGGTGCGTGGATCCGTTTTCGCTTCCGGTTGGCCTTTGGAGGATCTCTTCTCCGCCCGCTTGGGTCCGCGTTTGTTCCCAGCCCTCCTGTGTTGGGTACTCGTTTTGAATGGAGCAGTGTGGTCGGCCCGTCCCTCCTTCCTTCTCCTCCCCTCTCCTCCCCTTCTTCTCTCCTGTCTCCTGTGTTCCCCTGGCCTCTTCTCTCGCGCCGTCTGCGATCTGCGCAACTGTCGCCACTTTCGTGGGCTCCTGGGAGGCCCAGCGGAGGTACGTCCCACGCGGATCACCTCGGTATCTCGCCGCTCCTTGGGGGGTATTGCGATCTGCGCAACTGTCGCCACTTTCGTGGGCTCCTTGGAGGCCCAGCGGAGGTACGTCCCACGCGGATCACCTCGGTATCTCGCCGCTCCTTGGGGGTATTGCGATCAGCGCAACTGTCGCCACTTTCGTGGGCTCCTTGGAGGCCCAGCGGAGGTACGTCCCACGCGGATCACCTCGGTACCTCGCCGCCCCCTCGGGGGCTTGCGATCTGCGCAATTGTCGCCACTTTCATGGGCTCCTGGGAGGCCCAGCGGAGGTACGTCCCACGCGGATCACCTCGCTACCTCGCCGCCCCCTGGGGGGCTTGCGATCTGCGCAACTGTGGCCACTTTCGTGGGCTCTTGGGAGGCCCAGCGGAGGTACGTCCCACTCGGACCACCTCGGTACCTCGCCGCCCCTTGGGGGGCTTGCGATCTGCGCAATTGTCGCCACTTTCATGGGCTCCTGGGAGGCCCAGCGGAGGTCACTCCCACGCGGATCACCTCGGTTCCTCGCCGCCCCCCTGGGGGTCCCAGCGGAGGTAAATCCCACACAGATCACCTCGGTACTTCGCCGCCCCCTGGGGGGCTTGCGATCAGCGCAATTGTTGCCACTTTCGTGGGCTCCTTGGAGGCCCAGCGTAGGTACGTCCCACGCGGACCACCTCGGCACCTCGCCGCCCCCTGGGGGGCTTGCGATCTGCGCAATTGTCGCCACTCTCATGGGCTCCTGGGAGGCCCAGCGGAGGTACGTCCCACTCGGATCACCTCGGCACCGCGCCGCCCCCTGGGGGGCTTGCGATCAGCGCAATTGTCGTCACTTTCGTGGGCTGCTGGGAGGCCCAGCGGAGGTACGTCCCACGCGGATAATTTCGGTACTTCGCCGCCCCCCGGGGGGCTTGCGATCAGCGCAGCTGTTGCCACTTTCGTGGGCTCCTTGGAGGCCCAGCGGAGGTACGTCCCACGCGGATCACCTCGCTACCTCGCCGCCCCCTGGGGGGCTTGCAATCTGCGCAATTGTCGCCACTTTCATGGGCTCCTGGGAGGGCGTTGTTGGGGACCTCCTGTGGCCCTCTTGGGGCTCTCTTGGGAACCTTGCGGGGCCCTCTGGAACTCGTCTCGGGCCTTCTTGGAGCTTTCTTCGGCCGTCTTGGAGCCTTTTTGGGCCGTCTTGAAGCGCTCTTAGGGCCTCTCAGGCCGTCCTGAGGCGGTCTTGGGAGCCTCTTGGGCCACCTTGGACACCGTGAAGACCAAAGAAGCTAATATGCTAAACGTATAAGTTTCCCTAGAATGGAATGGAGCGATGTTTGCCTCTCGGGGGTCCCCTTTGGGGGCCTCTTGGGGCGTCGTGGGGGCTCTTGGGCTGTCTTGAAGCCATGTTGGGCCCTCTTGGAGCGCTCGTGGGCCGTCTTCGGGCCCTCTTGGACCTCTCCGACGCCGTCTTGGGCACGTTGGGGGCTGTCTTGAGCCTTCTTGGGAGCCTCTGAAGCGCTCTTGGGGCTGATTTGGGCAATCTTGGGCCGAAAGTTGCCGAAATGAGGGCGATTGGATCTGGGACTCCAGCTGCCTACCCCCCACCCCCTGGTTTTTTTCGACTAACGGATTGCGACGCTATGCGCGCTTTCCGTCATCCTAAAACATATCTTGCGACGTACCCAACCTTTTTTTATACACGTGGCCCTTATATTCAGGACTACTCAATGCTGACTGGCATTCTGGAGGACCCGCAGTACGCAAGAAGAGCACTCAGGAGTGAAATCAGAAGAGAGCATCAAGAAGAGGAACACCAAACATACAAAATGGAAGCACAAGGGCGTTGAAAGAAACACAGAAGCGGGGGGCGGCGAGGGCTAAACCAGAACATCGGTTTAACTCAGCAACGCGCTGCCCTGAAAGAGGCTAATGAATGACATGCATAACAGGGGCTCAGACTCACCCAAAAGTGGAGACAACGTACGCGGCAGCCAACCCACAGAACAGAACCCAAAAGTGGAAGCAAAAGGTCGCGGCTTCGAGGATAAGCAGGAGCACCCAGTCATTGGCGTGGGAGTTACCTCCGCTGGGCCTCCCAGGAGCCCACGAAAGTGGCGGCAGTGCGCAGATCGCAAGACCCCCAAGGGGGCGGCGAGGTACAAATGCAATCCGCGTGGGACGTACCTCCGCTGGGCCTCCCAGGAGCACACGAAAGTGGCGACAGTTGCGCAGATCGCAAGGGGCGGGGAGGTGCCGAGGTGATCCGCGTGGGACGTACCTCCGCTGGGCCTCTCAGGAGCCCGATTGTGGCGACAGTTGCGCTGATCGCAAGCCCCCCAGGGGGCGGCGAGGTACCGAGGTGTTCCGCGTGGGACGTACCTCCGCTGAGCCCCAGAGAGCCCCAAGACGGCCCAAGCCCGCCAAGACGGCCCAAGAGGGTCCCAGGACGGCCCGAACATGCCCCAAGACGGCCCCAAAGAGCCCCAAAAGGACCCCCAGGAAGGCCTGGGGATGCAATATTCATTGATTTGTGCAAGGTTTTCTGTCAGATTTTGCAAATTCCACCAAAGCATTCACACCAGCAGGGCTCTAAAACACTAGCCAGCGACCTCGCGCCCTCACAGACAGAACCTGCGCTTTCCGTCCCTATGCCAAGCAGGTTTGATGCCCTTCAAGTTTTCTTTCACGAGTATGGTTTTACATCTGGTTTCATGTTGTATTGATCTATGCTGCAACGCACAGGATACACAATCCTCGTATTGCCTTACAAAGTTAGTACATCCAGAGAGCACGAACCCATTGTTTGGGGCCCAGGCTGGCAAGCATGCGTTGTGCATTCGTTGCGGGTGTTGATACGCGCGCGCTGGAAGCATATTGCCAGGCATTGTAATACCAGGATGTCCACGTTTCGATTGGCCTGGCTGCGTCACAGTCGGTTGCGTCCGGTCGGTTCGGTTCGCTCGGTTGTCGTGCCATCGTCGCGGCGTTGCGCCCTTGTAGGTTGCCTGCGGCCCTGTCGATGTCGGCCCGTTTCGATTTCGTTGTCGGATGTTGGCTGTGTTGTCGCCGCCCTGGACGGCTCCTGATGCTCCACTTGGACAAGTGTGGTATGAACAAGTTGTGTTTCTATGACATATCACATGTGTTTGTTTTATCACAATGTTTCATCAGTGTTTTTTTCATCTCACAGTTGTTGTATCACATTTGCTTGTTTTTTCATCTCACTTGTGCCTCCTCCTCTTCCTCCTCCTCCTCCTCTCCATCTTCGGAACAGGCGTCACGTGCGGCGTCCACCTCTTCGACGACCCGAAGAGCGGAGCTCCGTGCCCCCTGCGCGATTGCTGGGAGGCTGCGCGCAGGATGTTCGGCGGCGGGGTCGGAGTTGGGAGGTACGGGCCTCGGTCGCTGTGTGAATGCTCCAGTGGTGGGGTGGCATGCAGTGGAGGCCCATGCCAAGGAGCACCCTGCTTGCCTCCGGGGTGCCCTGGGTTTCTTGGGCTCCGACGGCCTCGCTCTGCAAGGCGCGGCGTGCCCACGCCAAACATCCGTGGGCGCCCTGGGGTCCAAGGGTTGAGTCTCTCGTGGAAGGTTCCTCGTGGTCGGGCCCCCGCTGTACAGGTCTCGTCCGGTCTGTGAGTGCTCCAGTTGTGAGGTGGCATGATGCTTACTAGGGGCACGAATAACGACATAAACAGCGGGGGTCAGCGTGGATCGGAGAAATTCGCGCGGACCTCCGAGTTGTTATGTTTATGTACTGTTTCGTTCGCCTAAATACAGCGATCCGCAGAAGCACATCCAGATGGCAAGCACGGAATGTGTCCGACTTGAGTTGGCGGATCTTCAGGCAGCCGCAGCATGGACCAATCAGCACAGAGGTTCAGGGATCCGAGGATGCCATCATTCTCCTGCCTGGGCAATGTCGTGTCACTTTGGCTGTTTCTGCTAAACCTGAGGCGGATGGCCTCCCACTGGCAATGTTACGAGTTTGCTTGACATGCGTATACGTATGCATATGTGTATATATATAACGACTCGTGGGGTCTGCGAAGAGGTTGTAGATCTCGGATGCCTCATACTGTAGCAATGCCGGTGAGGGAGGCAACGCAGCTCGCCGGAGGGGCAACCATGGTAGACGGGGGATCGGGTATTTCTGCGGGGGTGTCACACTTGGAAGGGGTTGTCGTTCTGGACAGACAGGCACCCGGCGGTGTCACGGGAGGCTTTGTGCGAGCCTGCACGGGTCTATCAAATATACTGGGGACCAGGAGGGGCAACCGCGTCGTCCCCACACGGTTGTCCCGTCAGGTTTCACGTCCTGGAATCGTCCCCGACCGCGGCGACGAGAAGATTCGCCCCGTTGAGGGAAGAGGGAGGAAGCGGGCCAGGGGGGGAGCAGGCGGAGGCCGAGGGGGGGGGCTCACAGTCGCATTGTTTGCGCACGCGCCCAATCGCAAACGAACCGTGCCATCGTGGCCTACTCCAAGAACGGCGAGTAGCGATGCAGGAGCCGGCCCGACGGGGACGGTGCCGCACCCGTCCCACCGAGGCTCGGCCCAGAGCAGCGCGGAGCGTGCCGGGAGCAGAGCTTCCTCTCCGCAGCTGGCCTTGTTCATCCTCCTCCCTGTTCCTCCTCCCCTTTTCTTCTCCTCGTCCTCTCTTATCCTCCATCTTCCTTCCAGGTCCCCAGCCCGACAGGCGTTCACTGACACAGACATTTTGCGCGTTGAGACTTGAGAGACCTGACGCCCCCCCCCCTGAGTTCATTGGAGCGTTCATCGGAGGGGGCTAGTCAGGAGGGAAAAAAACACACAGACACAATTAATCCTCGATTCCCAGGAAAATATGGGAAAATATGGGAATTGGGGGGGAAGACAAAAACCCAGAAAATATGGAAAAATATGGGGACTATTTTTATTTGTGTGTATTTATTTGTGTGTCCCAATTTCCCTTTAGCTAGGACGAGGATAAATCTGTTCCAGAGCGTTCCGGAGCGCTCTCAGAGGGTTCCGCAAAGCTCTGCGAAGACCGCCGTTCCCGAGACATTCTCCAGAGCCGCCGAATCGCAGAGATTTTCGGTTAACCCTTGTATGCGTCCTGATTTCGTTTTAGTTCGGCGCGAGTGCTCTCAGTCGCCCACTGGTGACATCAGGTCAGGGGGGCATCCTGCGCCCACAGAGGTGGGCACCCCGTCCGTGGCCAGTGGCGCCGGAGAGGGGGGGGGGACTGGTGCCGCGGCCTTCTCGAGAGCGCGCCCAGCCGCTGGCTCAGACCTCGGGGCAAAAATCGGCGAGCACTCGTGCAGTGTTCCTCTGTCAACGCCTGGGCCTCCCAGATGAGGTCCGAGCGGATGAGGTCGGAGGATCGCGCCGCATCGCCGATGCATCGGCGATGCGGCTCGATGTGGAGCCCGTTTTTCTCCACGCCAACGGCGCCGATGCATCGCCGACATCGCCGGTGCATCGCCAACGTATCGGCGATGCATCTCCGATGCATCGGCGACGCGGCGCGATCCTTCGACCCCATCCATTCCGGCCCCATATAGGCGGCCTCTACAATGCCCTCCTCTCCCCAGTGATCAGAGTTGTCAGTGGCTCTGATGGGTTGCACCTCGACCGCAGTCTTCCCCGCGCATGCCAAGCTGGAATTTGGCGGGAGGGAGGGTCAGAAGCCGGGCGAAGGCGAAGGCTGGCGACCCCGTGGCTGCAGCTACCGGAAATTGTTTTTTCTTCCGGGAAGCAGCTTGTTTATGTTTTAGCTCGCTGAGCTTTATTCCGGGAATGTGTTATTTTCTTCCGGGAAGACCAATTTAGCAGCCACGGATTCGCCAGTTTCGCCCAGCTTCCGAGAGGGTGTCCATTCATGGTTTTCCTCTCCCCTATGCTTGTCGGCGGCCGGCCAGGGAAGAGGCGAGAGGGGGCTGGCCCTCTCAGAAGGCTCGGAAGTCCTCCGGCCTACATCTCCAAGGCTCCCCCGAAGACTCGACGCGGGAGAATTCGCAGGAAGGCCGGAGGGGTTTCGAGGAGCCCCGCCGCCTTTTCAGATCTGCACGAACGAAATGGGCAGAGAAAGAATGGGTACAATGCCCAACAGCGGATCGTGCTCATTTTGAACAGGACTCGCTGTCCACGCCGCCGCGGCCTGTGTCCATTCAAGACAGAAGGCCGCCTGCCCAACAGCGGCCGCTGTTGGTTTGGGACGACATTTGTTGTTGGGCACGGTGCCCATTCTTTCCGTACCCATTTCGGGCGTCCAAATGAGAAGACGTCCGCCCTCTCTTTCCCCCAGCCGAGCCGAGACGCCTCCCTCGCCGCCGGGCCTGCCGTGCCTCCTCTCAGAGGCCTCCGAGGAGGAGGCGCCGACCCCGCCCAGGCGCCCGAGGAGGAGGAGGAGGAGGAGGACGAGGGAGGACGACGAGGGAGGAGAGAGGAGGGAGGAGGAGGAGGAGGAGGAGGAGGAGGAGGAGGAGGAGGAGGGCGCCCGAGGAGGAGGAGGAGGAGGAGGAGGAGGAGGACGAGGGAGGAGGACGAGGGAGGAGGACGAGGGACGAGGGAGGAGGGACATCGGGACGACCGACATGGGTACGGAAAGAATGGGCACAATGCCCAACAGCAGTTCTTGTTCATTTTGAGCAGGACTCGCTCTCCACGCCGCCGCGGCCTGTGTCTATTTGAGACAGAAGGCCGCCTGCCCAACAGCGGCCGCTGTTGGTTTGGGACAACTCTTGTTGTTCCCCACATGCTTCGTGGGGTTCTGGTTTACTTCCCTGCCGCGCCGCACCCGCGTCTCCTCACACCTACCCTCCTCTCTCTTTCTTCCTCCCCTCACTCACACACACACACACTTCACTCTTCCCCCCCTCGTCGCAGCGCTGCTCAGCTCAGCTCAACTCAGCTCAACACAGCACAGCACAGCTCAGCTCAGCTCAGCACAGCACAGTTCGGCTCAGCTCAGCACAGCTCAGCACAGCCCAGCACGGCTCAGCTCAGCACAGCACAGCACAGCTCGTGGCACTTTCTCGACACCACAGGGGGTGCGCAGGGGTTGGTCTCTCAGCTCGGCCGTTATCCACGACACTGGCGCAAAGCCTAGCAGGCGTGGCACTCTCTCGACACCAAAGGGGGTGGGCAGGGGGTGGTCTCTCAGCTCGGCCGCTATCCACGACATTGGCGCAAAGCCTAGCAGGCGTGGCACTTTCTCGACACCACAGGGGGTGCGCAGGGGGTGGTCTCTCACCGCGGTCCCTATCCACGACACTGGCGCAAAGCCTAGCAGGCGTGGCACTTTCTCGACACCACAGGGGGTGCGCAGGGGGTGGTCTCTCAGCTCGGCCGCTATCCACGACACTGGCGCAAAGCCTAGCAGGCGTGGCACTTTCTCGACACCACAGGGGGTGCGCAGGGGGTGGTCTCTCAGCTCGGCCGCTATCCACGACACTGGCGCAAAGCCTAGCAGGCGTGGCACTTTCTCGACACCAAAGGGGGTGGGCAGGGGGTGGTCTCTCAGCTCGGCCGCTATCCACGACACTGGCGCAAAGCCTAGCAGGCGTGGCACTTTCTCGACACCACAGGGGGTGCGCAGGGGGTGGTCTCTCAGCTCGGCCGCTATCCACGACACTGGCGCAAAGCCTAGCAGGCGTGGCACTTTCTCGACACCACAGGGGGTGCGCAGGGGGTGGTCTCTCAGCTCGGCCGCTATCCACGACACTGGCGCAAAGCCTAGCAGGCGTGGCACTTTCTCGACACCAAAGGGGGTGGGCAGGGGGTGGTCTCTCAGCTCGGCCGCTATCCACGACACTGGCGCAAAGCCTAGCAGGCGTGGCACTTTCTCGACACCACAGGGGGTGCGCAGGGGGTGGTCTCTCAGCTCGGCCGCTATCCACGACACTGGCGCAAAGCCTAGCAGGCGTGGCACTTTCTCGACACCACAGGGGGTGGGCAGGGGGTGGTCTCTCAGCTCGGCCGCTATCCACGACACTGGCGCAAAGGCTAGCAGGCGTGGCACTTTCTCGACACCACAGGGGGTGCGCAGGGGGTGGTCTCTCAGCTCGGCCGCTATCCACGACACTGGCGCAAAGCCTAGCAGGCGTGGCACTTTCTCGACACCACAGGGGGTGCGCAGGGGGTGGTCTCTCAGCTCGGCCGCTATCCACGACACTGTCGCAAAACCTAGCAGGCGTGGCACTTTCGCGACACCACAGGGGGTGCGCAGGGGGTGGTCTCTCAGCTCGGCCGCCATCCACGACACTGGCGCAAAGCCTAGCAGGCGTGGCACTTTCTCGACACCACAGGGGGTGGGCAGGGGGTGGTCTCTCAGCTCGGCCGCTATCCACGACACTGGCGCAAAGCCTAGCAGGCGTGGCACTTTCTCGACACCACAGGGGGTGCGCAGGGGGTGGTCTCTCAGCTCGGCCGCTATCCACGACACTGGCGCAAAGCCTAGCAGGCGTGGCACTTTCTCGACACCACAGGGGGTGCGCAGGGGGTGGTCTCTCAGCTCGGCCGCTATCCACGACACTGGCGCAAAGCCTAGCAGGCGTGGCACTTTCTCGACACCAAGGGGGTGGCAGGGGGTGGTCTCTCAGCTCGGCCGCTATCCATGACACTGGCGCAAACCTAGCAGGCGTGGCACTTTCTCGACACCACACGGGGTGCGCAGGGGGTGGTCTCTCAGCTCGGCCGCTATCCACGACACTGTCGCAAACATAGCAAGCGTGGCACTTTCTCGACACCACACGGGGTTGCGCAGGGGGTGGTCTCTCAGCTCGGTCGCTATCCACGACAATGGCGCAAAGCCTAGTAGGCGTGGCACTTTCTCGACACCACAGGGGGTGCGCATGGGGTGGTCTCTCAGCTCGGCCGCCATCCACGACACTGTCGCAAAACCTAGCAGGCGTGGCACTTTCTCGACACCACAGGGGGTGCGCAGGGGTTGGTCTCTCAGCTCGGCCGCCATCCACGACACTGTCGCAAAGCCTAGCAGGCGTGGCACTTTCTCGACACCAAAGGGGGTGGGCAGGGGGTGGTCTCTGAGCTCGGCCGCCGCCGCCGCCGCGGAGGGTCAGGCAATTTGGCGTTGGATGACACATAGGGAACATTCGCGACGAGGGCTCAGAACGCAGGATTGCGCATATATGTGTATATATATATATATATATATATATTATACATAAGCAAACACATAATATTTAAATTAAGTATGTGGGGTTCCTCGGTAGCGTAATTTGGCACTGTACCCGTTTTTTTCGTACCCATTTCGGGCGTCCAAACGGGAAAAGGAGGATGAGGAGGAGGAGAAGGAGGAGGAGGAGGAGGACGAGGGAGCAGGACGAGGGAGCAGGACGAGGGAGGAGGACGAGGGAGGAGGACGAGGGAGGAGGACGAGGGAGGAGGGAGGAGGGAGGGAGGGCGGGCGGGGTGCCCGCCTCTGCAGGCAGAGGGCCAGCCAGGCCTCTGCCTCGACCCTGAGCGCGGCGGAGGGGGCGCCGCCAGGGCGGGGCCCGGGTCCCCGCGGAGGTCCCCCGCGGAGGCCTGTGGAGGTGCAGCCGCGGCCACGGAGGCTGGCCAGAGGCCAACTTTCAGTCGGGCATCGGGGGTGGACAGACCTCCTACCCTGACACGTCGATTAAGGAATTGGCCGTTTTCGGTTCGTGAGAGGGCGTCGCGGCCGTCATTTTTGCGGGTCCAGGTCCGTCGGTTTCGGTCCCAGGCCGCTTTCACTAAGGGGAGGTTTACGAAAGGGAGGTTTGTCCACCGCCGATTCAAAAATAGTCAAAAAATAGTCTGGAGCCGGGCTGATTTTCGTCATGTTTTTGTTGATCGTTTCCGAGTATGCTTTGGCTATTTCAGATTCTTCCTCCAGGATCCGCCTGCAGGAGGCCACGCCCGACCTGAGGCCAGCTAGACCAGAGGTCTCCAGGTCATCGAGTCCGGGCCCCGGGGGCCCCGTCCAGCGAGTTGAGCCCGCGGCAGTGGGCCTGCCAGGGGGGGGGGCCTCGTCGCCACGGCTGGGCGCAGCTCGGGAAGCGGCCACGCGCAGAGGGGGGTGGTAGGGGGAGGGGGTAAGGCTTCTTAGAACCCCCCTGCTTCTTAGAAGGCGCGGGCCTTGTCTGCTCGTGCATGTATAGTTACCTAGGTCTGTATGTATGCATGCATGCATGCCTGTGTATGCAGGTATGTATATATGTATGTATGCATCCATGTATGTATGTATATCTATCTACATATATGTGTATATATATACATATATATATGCAGGCATGCATGCATGCATGCATGCATGCATGTATACATGCAGGTATGTATGAATGTTTGATTGTCTGCATGCATGTGTGTATGTGTGCACGTATGCTTGTATGTGTGTATGTATGTGTATGTGTATGTGTGTATGCATGTATGCATGTATGTGTGTATCCATGTTTGTATAAATGTATGTATGTCTGGATTGGGGGATGTTTGTATGCATATACGTATACATGTATGTATGTATGAATGTACGTATGAATGTATGCATGCATGCATGTATGTATGTATGTGTGTATGTAAGCATGTAAGTAAGCACACATGTATGTGTATGTGTATGTGTACGTATATGTGTATGTGTATGTGTAGGTGTATGTGTATGTGTATGTGTATGTGTGTACATGCATGTATGAATGTATGGATGGATGTATGTGTTGATGTATGCGTGTATGCATGTATGTGTATATGTGTGTATGTGTGCATGCATGTATGTATGTATGTATGTATATACGTACGCGTGTATGTGTGTATGTATGTATGTATGTATGTGTGTATGCATGTATGTATGTATGTATGTACATATATGTATCTATCTATCTATCTATGTATGCATGTATGTATGTATGTATGTCTGTGTGTGTATGTATGTATGTATGCATGTATGTATGTATGGATGTATGTATGTGTGTATGCATTTATGTATGTTTGTGTATATATGTACGTATGTATGTACGTACGTATGTATGTATGTGTGTATGTATATATGTATGTGTGTATGTATGTTTGTATGTATGTGTGCATGTATGTATGTATGTATGTATGCATGCATGTATGTATGTATGTATGTGTATGTATGTATGTATGTAAGTAAGTAAGTATGTAAGTATGTATGTATGTATGTATGTATGTATGTATGTATGTATGTATGTATGTATGTGTGTATGAACGTGTGCATGTATGTATGTATGTATGCATGCATGTATGTATGTATGTATGTATGGATGAATGTGTATACACGTATGTATGTATGCACGTGCGTACGTGTGTATGTATGTATGTACGTATGCATGCATGCGTGCATGCATGCATGCATGCATGTATGTGTATACATGCGTGTGTAGACCTATGTGTATGTGTGTGTGTTGTAAGGTCGGTGCATTATAAGAAGCAGCCTCCTTCTAAGAAGCCTCCCTCCCATCTCTTACCCCTTTGTGTTCGCCGCCGAGGAAGGCCTGGACCCCGGAAGGGCCCGGGGATCGATGTTAGGAGTTGTCGTGGTTGCCTCCGGTCGCCCCCCGCTCCCAGGAAGGCTCGTCTCCTCCTCCTCCTCCTCCTCCTCTCCTCCTCCTCTCCCCTCCTTCCTCCTCCTCCTCCTCCTCTCCTCCTCCTTTTGCTCCTCCTCCTCCTCCTCGTGAGAAGATTGCTTTCGGTTGTTTTCGGCGGCCTGGGGCCCGGCCGGGCCCCGGGCCGGCAGCTCCCGGGGAAGGGCCACCGGCTTCCCCGGGCCCTGCACGGACAAGGTCGGCACGTCGTTGCACGTCCGGGCTTGCCCTCGCGAGGGGCCCGCCCGGCGGCAAGGTACGTGGTCCCCGTCGCGCTGCCGACGGGCCTCCGCGCGGCCAGCCGCTCGGACCTGGCGGGCGGCGCCCCCTCCGAGGTGGGCCTCCTCCTCCGCCTCCGCCGCCGCTCCTCGGGTCCTGCCTCCGTCCCTCCGCCCCTCGCTGCTGCTCCTCCTCGTCCTCATCCTCATCCTCAACTTTCCTCGTCCTCCTCCTCCTCCTCATCCTCGTCATCATGCTGCTGCTCCTCCTCGTCCTCCTCCTCCTCCCTCCCCCCTCGTGTTCCGCTCTCTCCCGCCTCCGTCGTGCCCCTCCCCCTCCGCCTCCCTCTCCTGCCCTGCTCCCGCCCTCCTCTGTCCTCCTCTCCCGCCCGCGTCCGCCCGCCGCCTCCCTCGTCCTCCTGCAGCCGCCTCTTCTTTTCCCCCCACACTCTAGGTGGGGCTCCTGTCCTCCTCCTCCCCTCCCCCCCCTCCTCCCCCTCCTCCCCCTCCTCCTCCTCCTCCTCCTCCTCCTCCTCCTCCTCCTCCTCCTCCTCCTCCTCCCGACTGTACCCATCGGTCGGCAGAAGCATGCAGAGACACGACACAGGAAGGCGCTGGAAGCGGAGTGGGCCTCCGCCGGCCCCCGGAGGAGGAGAACAGAAGAAGACCAGCCGTTCCTGGAGGCAGGAGGGCGCCCCAACGCAGACTGGGATCTGGGAGCCCAGAAGTCTCTGCCTTCATCGACCGATGCGCTTGGGAGCAGCGAGTAGAGTCGGCCCGCATAGTGAGGGTGGGCAGCCTTCCCAAGGGTCCCCACTGCACCCTTGCCTCCTCGGCCCATCCTTGGCCACCGTCGTTGACCGCGCCCCGCCCGGAAAGCCTCGAAGTTCCCTTTCCGAGGCCCCTGCAGCCTTCTCGCGCATCCTTCCCATACAGGTGGACTGCAGCTCGCGCCACGCGAGATCCCCCCCCGCCGGGGCCCGCCCACAGGGGCGGAGAGGGGGCGGGCGGGCCCGCCCCCCCGCCGCGAGGGGAGGTGTCCGGGTGGGGGGGCCGCGGAGCGGGCACGGAGGGCCCCCTCGGGGGGCCCTCCCGGGCGCGCCCTCGCTGCGCCCGCCGTGGGGAGGGCGGAGGCCGAGGAAACTCTCGGAGGTGGACAGATTTTTTGTTGAGCTCAACGCCCGCACAGCCTTGGTGAAAAAAGCACAGCAGTAGTGGCTGGGAAACCACTGCTGGAAGCGAGGGAGGCCTCACTGACCGAAAGAGTACCTCCAGCAGACCCATGGGCTAGGAGGCACTGGCCACACGACGGGCGACCGCCCCGTGGCCAGAGCAAGAGAAAAACAGTCCAGCGCCGCAGCAGGGCATACGGTCGGGGAGGGCTAATCCTCCCCCGTGCCTGCCACATCCTACCCTGAAAGGAATTGACCGTTTTCGGTTCGCGAGAGGGTGTCGCGGCCGTCATTTTTGCGGGTGCAGGCCCGTCGGTTTCGGTCCCAGGCCGTTTTCACCGAGGGGAGGTTTACTAAAGGGAGGTTTGTCCACCGCCGAAACTCGGAGAAGAAGACACGCCATGAACACAGAGCTGTGGCGCTCCGCGCGGAGTTCCTGGACGCGCCGAGAAGGCCGCGCGGAGCGCCCAGAGTTTCTGCTCGCGGCGCGTGCTCTTCTGGGGACGGCCCCCGGCAGGCGTGGAGCCCCGGGGGGGCCTCCCGGACACCCTCCGCGCCTGCCGCGAGGGAGGCGGAGGCCGAGGGAATGGCCCCAGGTAGCCCAAGGGCTGGGGTGTTGGGGGGCAGCGAAGCTTAGGGGAACGAAGAGTGACATCATCCACGTACGCGTGCATGGATCCACGCTGGTTTCGAGAGTTCGCATTGCGCGAATGTTCGTATCACGCGGCCGGTCTCGCGGGTCAAGGGGCAGTGCTTTTGTGGGCTCCCTACATGAACATAACATTTCTGAGGTCCGCGCGGGTTTCTCGGATCGGCGCTGGACGCATTTCCCTGGCGCGGAGCGCGCCAGGGGCGGCGCCGGAGGCGCCGCCAGGGGGGGTCCAGCGCGGATCCGAGATATCCGCGCGGACCTCCGAGTTGTTATGTTTATGTCATCCGTCGTTCCCCTAACGCTGTCACCTGGCGTGTCCTCTCCAATCAAACTTGATCTTGCGGCCAGCCCTGGGTCGGGGAAGCGTAAGCCTCGAGTGCGCCGGGACATCGGGTTTGCCGACGTCTTTTGACGAGCGCGTCCTGGATTTTGGCGGTCCGGTTTTCGTGGGATGCTTGCAGCGGGAGTTCGCGTCAAATTTCAGATTGGGTCTCGTCATTTTCATGATGGCCCCGCCAGGCCAGCCCGAGTCCCCCGAACCCAAGCCCTACGTCTCCCCGACGGGGGAAGCGAGAGGGGGCGTGCCTTCTCAGAAGGCTTCCGATCAGTTTTCTGAGCCTCCCCCGAAGAGACAGAGCAATCCTCAGAAGGCCAGATGGCTTCTGAGAAGACCAGCCGCCGTCTGAGAAGGCGTCCTCATTCTCGTTTCCCCCCCCCCTAGCCACGCGCGGAGGGGGCCAGGGGGGAAGGGGGGGAGGGGGCGTCTTAGAAGCACCACTGCTTCTTCGAAGGCGCCGTTCTCGTCTGCAGATGTAAGGCCGGCGCCTTCGGAGAAGCAGCCTCCTGAAGAAGCCTTCCCCCTGCTGCGCGCCGCCAGCCCGCGCTCGCCGCCGATCGACTGTGCGGGAGCCGCGAAGCTCGAGCCCGCGATCCTCCCGCGGCCCCGGCGGCGCGCCGCGCCAGGCCGCGCCGCTGCCGCGGCGAGGCGCCGCAGCGCCGCCGCTGCCGCCGGGGCCACCGCCCCGCGGGCCGGGCGCGCGCCGGCGCCGGTCTGGGGCCTTCCTGCTCCAGGGGCAGCGACAGGGGGGGGGATACGGTACGGTCGGGGCCCTGAAGAGGGAGCCCGTTTCGTTGGGGAGGGGCTCCGCGTTCCTTGAGTGCTTCACAGCTTGCCTCAGGTTTTCTCCTTATGTTTTCGATAGGCAATCGAAGTTTAACTTATGGAAAAGAGGGGCCTCGTTCCTTATTTCGGGTTCCTGAGGTCAACGCCCCGACTGTAGGCATAGGGGGGGGATGCAGCGACCCCCAATCGCCCATTGATCGCCGATAGGGGCCCGATAGCCCCAGCCTGCCCAGGAAGGTGCGGATTCACTATCAGGGGCCTATCGCCGGTCCATCGGCGATGTATCGCCGATTCCAGGTCGATGCATCCCCCCCTATGCCAGTCCCCCCCTACCGTTGCCCCTCACTTCCTGCGCGCGCGGCGGGCGCCTTGAAGGCCAAAAAAAACCGAGGAACGAGCAGTGGCGGAAGCACAGATCGGCCACGGACGGAGAGGGGTGCAGTCGGGAGCGAAAGATGGACGTAGACGTACGGATCCACGCTGGTTTCGAGAGTACGCGTTGCCCGAGTGTTCGTATCACGCGGCCAGTGTCGCGGATCGAGGGGCCGTGTTCATGTGCATAGCTGGGCGCGTGCGTTCAATTTGTGGGCTCCCTATAGAGGAGAAGGGGGGGGAGGCTTCTCAGAAGCACCCCTGCTTCCCAGAAGGCGCGGGCATTGCCTGCAGATGTAGGGCCAGGGCCTTCTAAGAAGCAGGGCGCTTCTCAGAAGCCTTCCCCCCTACCCCTGCCCCCTTTTGCGCGCCGCCAGAGATCAAAACTTGGAGGTGCGAGCAGGTTTCTCGGATCGGCGCTGGAGGCCCCTGGCGGCGCCTCCGCCTGAAGGCCCCAAGACATTTGGGAACAGACAGTGGCATAAGCATGTGATTGTTTTCTTATTCATGGTTTTGCCGATCGGCGCGGGCCCTCGCACCCCCCTCCCCCCACCGCCACGTGGCGTAGAAGTTGGCTGTTTTGGGCGCCTTTTTCGAGCAGGTGAATCTCCCATGGGACGCACTGGTGCAAACAGTCGCACTACGCAGAGGTTCGGAGCCAGACCTCCCCCTCTTCCTCCCATGTCGAAACGCCAAATAAGAAAACGCTTACCATGTAACAACTTGTAAGTGCGAGCAGGTTTCTCGGATCGGCGCTGGAGGCCCTTGGCGGCGCCTCCGCCCCTGGGCGCGCCCCGCGCGCCAGGGAGGGGGGTCCAGCGCCGATCCGAGAAACCCGCGCGAACCTTCGAGATCATATGTGTATGTCATTGTTTGCCCAGGGCGCCAACAAGTTGGGCCTCCCAAGGGTCGGGGATTCGCAGGACGCGAGCTCGCTGGAGCTCGGGTATGTCGACCGCTTGTTGGCCGTTCCGTCCTGGGTTTGGCGGTCCATCTTTCATGGGATGTTTGCAGTTCGCGTCAAATGTTGGTGAAGGGGCCTTGGGACACACAAATAAATACACACACAAAAGGATTCCCCATATTTTTTTTATATGTTCTGGGTTTTTGTCTTCCCCCCACTTCCCATATTTTCCAATATTTTCCTGGGAGTGGACGATTAATTGTGTCTGTGTGTTTTTTTCCCCTCCTGAGTTGGATTGGGTCTCGTCATTTTTTGGACAGCCCCGAAGAACCAACCCGAGTCACCCGAACCCGAATCTTGCGTCTTCCCCGCAGCCAGGGCGGAACAAAAATAAACATCCCAAGTGGGGTCCGAACCGACGGGGTCGGAGGATCGCGCCGCACCGCCGATGCATCGGCGATGCGGCTCGATGTGGAACCCGATGCTCTCCACGCCGACGTCGTCGATGCATCGTCAACGCATCGCCGATGCATCGGTGATACATCGGCGAGCTGGTGCAATCTTGTGCAAACCTCCGACCCCATCTACTCGGACCCAATCCAGGAGGCGTCTACATGAAGGCCCAGAAAGTGCCCAGAACGCCTAAAAGGTTGAGCCTCGACAGTGTAAGTGTGAGACCCATTGGCCCGCCACGCCACTCCGAATCATGGCACGTGCTGCGTGTGTCGGTGCTCTCACGTGGCCCCTCGAGGGCCTCGTCAGGACTTCTGGGAGGCCCCCGGGGGCTTCCTGGAGCTTCTTCTGGGCTTTTCGGGGGCATCGGGGGGCCTCCTGAGGCCTCGTGGGGATATCTCGGGGCTTCCTGGTTTGGGGGGCGTCGTGGAGCTTCTTGTTGACTCATCGGGAGGTTTTCCGAGGCCTCATGGAACTTCTTGAGAGCTTCTGCGGGGCCTTTCGGGTTTTCCGAGGGTTTGTTGGGGCCCTCCAAATGCTCTCCTGAGGGCGTTGCGAGGCCTCCTGGGCAGTCTTGGAACTGTCTGGGGCCCCTTGTGTCGTCGTGGGCGCTGTGAAGACGACCGCTGCGATACAATGGAAATGCGACAAACTCATCTTGTTTTGCCATGTTGGGCCTCTCGCGGGCGTCCTCGAAGGTTTCTCGTTGCCTACAAGGCGTTCATGAAGCCCCATCGCGACGGCTTGTGACGAAACGCGGGGCCAGGGTGGAGACCCCCTTGTCCGACTGGAGGGCAATGATGGCCGTCTTACAGTCCATGTGGCGCCATCGTCGCCTCGTGCGACGGTTTCTGCCAACCGCCATATGGAAACAGGGGAAGGCGAGGGGGCGGCTTGGCGTCCAGGAGGGGGGAGGTGCCAAGGAGCCATGCGTCCGTTTCCTCAGTACCTAGGTGCCTGCGGCAAACACCGCCATCGCGATTGTGCAACAGCGCAGCAGGAAGGAGGCCGAGAGGAGGAACAAGTCAATTCTGACGAATTCTAAGCTTAGGGTCGTGAACTAGACCTCGTCTTCGTCCGCGCGCCAGGGGAGAGGTCGAGTTCACGCCCCGCTGCAGTTCAGCGAGTGATTGGAATTGCCGCGGGTCGCGAACTCGACTTTTTTGTTTGTCCGCATTGTAGGGGGGGAAGGAACAGAGGGACGAGGAGGAGAAGGTGAAGGAGGAGCGGGAGAAGGAGGAGGAACAGGAGGAACAGGAGGAACAAGAGGAGGAGGAAGAGGAGGAGGAGGAAGAGGAGGAAGAGGAGGAGGAGGAGGAGGAGGGGGAAGAGGAAGAGGAGGAACAGGAGGAACAGGAGGAGGAGGGGGAGGGGGAGGATGAGGAAGAGAGGCAGGAGAGGGAAGAGGAGCAGGAGGACGAGAAGGCCTTTTTCACCTGCGCCTGGTTCGGAGCTAACCCAAAGACTTGGGCGCGAAAGCTGGCTGCGCGGATTTGGCTATCACGCAACTTGGCCTCGCCTTTAGCTGGTTCGGGATGCCTTACGGAGGACAACTCGATTCCCTCTCTCGTAGATCAGGATCCGTAGAGGCTAGGAGCACGCGACATTCTAAAACAGCCAGAGTAGTCACTCCACCGTCCAGATCAGCTAGAGCCTGCAGATCAGCAAGCACTTGTCGGCCCACGGGGAGGAGGAGGAGGAGGAGGAGGAGGAGGAGGAGGAGGAGGAGGAGGAGGAGGAGGAGGAGGTGGGTGGGACACGTGGGATGCGACACAGCTCAAATATTGGAGCAATATGGCTGGCTGAGCGGGATTCGCTCATCTAGCATACTGACCTCGCCTTCTGCGGGGTCGGGATGCCAAGAAGAGGACTGTTGAGCCAGGTTGCTGCGAATAGGGAGGGCTCGGAAACCCTCCTGGACAACTCGGTAAACCTGTTGCTCGCTGTCCATGCGAGAGAGTACCGCAGACATTGCAAATCAAGGATGCATGAGTACAGTTGTAACTGTGAGCTGCATCGTGTGCCCCCGAGGGTTGGCTACGATCGTAGAGAATATAGAGTTATGACCCGTGCACGGCGTGGAATGGATGGATGCGAAGGTCCGGCAGCGTTTATCGCAGACGGAATGATCCTAGATCCCCTCCTTGATAACTCTAAAGTGATGCACCGATGAAGATTTGCCTGGAGCCATTGCGGCTGCTGCCCCAGCGTTGTGGGGAGCCGCTAGAGGGAGAGAAGGAAGGAGATGAAGCTCTGCCATCCGAGCTGAACGCCACCCCTGGCACTGCACTGCACACATCTGAGCCGTAATCGCCCAGGACCTCCGCAGTAAAGGCGTAGTTGGCGGACCTACCTCCCCCACCAGTGCCTCCTCTGGCACGGCGGCGGACTGTGCCACCATTGCCTTGCTTGCTCGGAGCTCTGGCCGCAAGTTCGAGATACGTCTGGAGAGCGCTAGTTCTAGATGCCTGTTAGTCGACCTGAGCAGCCGATGGCAAGTGTTGCATACTTGCTCCAAGCTTGGCCGCTGCGTCGGCCTGCTCGTTACCTACCTAGGGCATTCACCCTCTCATCATATCCTTCAGGACACCTTTGTGGGTCTACATGAGTGGGCACCGTAGTACACGGTACCTCCGTCGAGGACTCACCCATAATTTTGAGTGTGAGGTTCGTGTAGATAGCGTTCGTAAACAGTGGTTATCTACAGGTTTGCGATGAAGTCCGATTGCACCTACATAGTCAGCTCTGATTTCGGTCGCTCTGGGAGCGTAAGTGACGACAGTTAGGTCCGCTCCGTGCTCGGCAGTTGGGTTGGTTTGGGGCAGCATGTTTCCGACGCGGCCAAACATCTTGGCGATATGTTCCCCAACCTCAGGCAGTGTAACGAGTCCCCAACCTGCTCGATGGAAATCAGGGCGTCCGTCTTCACAAGCAGAACCGTCACAACAAAACGTCTGCCAGGGCTTCTTCTGGAGGAGAGGCATCAAGAGACCCCCACACATCATATACGTGAACAATGCCAGTCGGTGGACAGGCCACAAAATCTGGCGCGGTCTGGGCGCCCAGCAACATGACTTCAATAGCTCCGGCGCCAGCAGGGACATTCCAAGCATCTAGCGAGATAAACTCATCACGGACATGCTGAGTCAGTGGCCAGCGAAACATGCAATGGTGCAAGTCGCTACTACGATGCCCGCATGAACAAGTACAGTCTACGGCAGATCCATGCTTCTGGAGAGGATGCTGGGCCGAAAACATTGGCACACGAAAACTCGAATGAGAGTATTGTGTGACTTTGACAGGGTCGGGCAAGCACGGAAGGAGCGAACAATTGTGACGTCCAGTTCGTCTTCGGGATGCCGAGCTTGACCGAGGCTTTGAGGTTGTTCAACTTGCCCCAGGCCCTCTAAAATAACGCCTGGATCATTCTAGGCGTGGTGTCCGTGAAAGCATCGACCAAATTAGCGTCGGCTTCCACCTCGAACGGAAACACGACTCGCCATCCGATTCGCCGCAGATTCACATTGTTGCACTTGCTGCAGCTCTGAATCACTGTTCCCTATTTATAAACACCCCCTCCCCCAGGCGACTGGGGGCCAACCAGGGTCCATGCCGACCCCCCCCCCACCATCCCTGGTAAAAAACAATACAAAACACACTCTGCTTCCAAATTCGGAACATGCGCAGCCAACCCGATGCGGCCCCCCCCACCATCCCTGTCAAAAAACAATACAGAGTACACTTGGCGGCGGCGGCGGCTGCGGCGGCTGCGGCGGCGGTGGCGGCGGCTGCGGCGGATGAGCGGCGGCGGCGGCGGCGGCGGCGGCGGCAGCGGCAGCGGCTGCGGCGGCGGCGGCGGTTTGGCAGCGGGGCGGCGGCGACGGCGGCGGAGGCGGCTGGCGGCCGCGGCGACGGAGGCGGCGGCGGCGGCGGAGGCGGCGGCGGCGGCGGCGGCGGCGGTAGCGGTGGCGGCAGTGGCTGCGGCGGCGGCGGCGGCGGCGGCGGGCGCCAGATTGGCCCCCAGTTAGCTGTCCATCCCAAGACGACTGCTGAATATGCTCAGGCTCGGGCCAGACTCGGGTGCTACGTATGTGTTGGGAGGGCGGATGGGAGTGAGCGAGACGGCTTGCGGGCAGGGAGGGGGTAACTTGACCCCCACCCCACCCCCACCCCCAATTAGCTAGAGGATCATCAGGAACGGCTCGAAAGACCCCGCCGCTAAATTGCGAAACAAGGCGCAATTTTGTGAAACGTGGGTTTGTGGCCGACTTCCAGACAACACTTGTCCATTGCAGAGCAGGAACCAACCCTTGTATCCAAAACGGATCCCCAAGGACAGCCAACGACACGTTTCTGGACTGGTATGCTTGAGCATCCAGCGATGGATGGATATTGCGTTTGGGCTGTTGCTGGTTCCTGGGGGGGCACGTCTACCCCATCTCGTTCCGTAGGCCCCGCGGTTGACAATCCTGACTTGTATCATTTTTTGGCGAGGAACACATGTTCGCTTGAGGGCTCTGATCATGCAGCCGCTCTGCTTTAGTCCTTCAAGAAAAAGAAGGAAACAACAACAACACAACAAAAAGAACGCTCCGCTGGAACCTCGGCGTTCTTGGCCCGTCGGGCCCCACAAAGAGGTCGATGCCGGGATCTGGTGCCGACGACGAGGCCTCTCCTGCATGTCAGCCCAGATTTATCTGAAGCAGGCCAGTCTGTTTCTGGCAATATTATGTTCTGATAGGTTGATAGGTTTGCGCAACGCCAATGCTCGGAGGTTGGTAGACTTCCTACCCTGACACGTCGATTAGCGAATTGGCCTTTTTCGGCTCGCGAGAGGGCGTCGCGGCCATCATTTTTGCGGGTCCTGGTCCGTCGGTTTCGGTCCCAGGCTGTTTTCACTAAAGGGAGGTTTACTAAAGGAAGGTTTGTCCGCCGCCGGGATGCACCCACAAACTCATGCTTGATCATGCCTGCGAGACCTACTGCGGACGCTGTATGATCTCGCTACAGTTTGCCGACTCGGAGCGGTTCGATTGCCATGCGCGGCATCCGTGAACATCGCCCCTTGCATTGAAGGACGCCTCGTCTTCCATGCACGCAAGGGAGGTCGAGCATAGATCTGCACAGTGAAAATGGCGAAACAGCAACAAGCAACGATGACGAAGAAAAGGAAGTTCAGTTGCAGAGCCACCCCCAAGCATTCCAGCATCGTCGAGCCGCACACTGGGTGAGGACTATTGCTATGAATTGCAACGGGAACCCCGGTTGCTTGGCTCTGGACCAAACTAGGCCTCTACAGATATGCTCGTAGCAGCCATTGAGGTCCCACATGAAAGAACCTGAGACATGGCTAAAAGCGCCCGAACTCGAACAAGCGGACTCCGCCGAGAGCGTCTGTAGGTAAATCACCTCTAGGCTGCATTTGCCAGGCTGGTGAGCCATGATGGAAACAGCTACCTGCAGACTGGTTGGCGAAGCCTGGGCCATACTCAATATGAACTCGGCAAGCACCCAACGCCACGATGACAAGGGCCAGAGCTGTCCGCCTTGTGCGTAGTAAACAAGGCAGTGTACATCGCCAGTGCAGCACTAAGCAGAAGTACAACTTGCTCAATGAGCATGAACAACTTGATGACTACGAGGACGGGACGTGGCTCCAGAAGTCCAACATGTCTGGGACGCAGCCCATCCCAGTCCGACTGGCCTCATGTGAACATCTTCGTTGCTTGCATGCACTGGTCGACTGTGAC